AATTCTAGAAATTAGATTCTTCCCCCTTCCCAAGATTTGTTGCTGCTGTTAGTTATTGTTTGTTTGTTCAGTGACATTTATGAACTAATTATGTAAAATCTCTATGCTTAGTTAGCTTACTGGTCAGCTAATGATTGGCCAGAGAATTCTTCTATGCCTGGAACCAATAAATTTCCCCATCTTTTCAAGGGGCTCTGTGTGTATGATGGGGCATGGAGGCAGTTGACAGCTCCACCTTAGCCTTCATTTTCTGCCTTCACAGAGCTTCAGTGTCAGCCAGAAGTGAGAGCTCAGGGCCTTCTCAAGTCTTTTCTGTGCATGCACAAAGCCCTGGACATACCTGAACCCTTATGGACATTTCATTCCCCAAGTTCTCCTTTTAAACTTTTTTCTGGAAGGATTTTACTGTATGTGAAAATCCCTCTTACTGGGCCACCATTACTCAAAGAAGGGCCTGCTGAAAATAAGAAATTCACAGCTGTCCTGCTGACATGGAGAGAAAGAAAACTTCAAAGTAAACCTTGAAGAAATGATTTTTAAAGTTGTAGAGTTGAGGCTTGACCCAGTAATAGATTTTGAAAGGGTATTTTGTATCTCTGTGGTAAGTCAGGCTGTCCAACAGAAAAGGCTCCAAACCCGAATGCTACCAAACTGGAGGTGCCTTAATCGCAATATTGATTGATCGTATAACTTCGTATAATGTATGCTATACGAAGTTATTACGTGTGAATTTATTTATCTATTTCTAGCTCCCACCAATAAGTGAGCACATGTGGTATTTCTCTTTCTGTGCCTGACTTGTTTCACTTAATATAATTCTCTCAAGGTCCATCCATGTTGTTGCAAATGGCAGCCATAATCTTAAGCAGTTGCCTCTGATTTTTGTTTGTTTGTTTTCAACAAACGCCCCCCAGTGAAAAGTCTGTTTGTACTGGGTACACTCTAAATCAGGTCAGGTAAAGACAGCCTTGCAAGTGGAGTCCTCCAGGGAACAAACAGGTCAGTTAGTGACAGTTCTCTGGGAATGGGGCTTTGAAAGCATTCCAATCTGCTCTTCCAAAGGCTGCCAGACTCCTGGTTTCCACTGTGATGTGGGCAATTGCCTTTACAATCTACTGAGGAGCTGGGGAGGTAGAGATGGGAATAGGGCAAATTCACATGTCACAAACCTCCTTGTTCTTACTGGGAGTCGGCCATTTTTCTTGAATAAATGCTCTCTGGACTGCTGTAATCCTGTGGCTAATTTCCAGAGTTCAGAAATAGTGGGTTCTGATCATTTCTTCCAGTGTTTGCATTGCTTTTACAGAGGCTTTTCAGATATCCTTAATCTGCCATTTTTGTTGATGTCACTTGAATTGATTTTTGTGTATTTTACTCCATGACTATTTTTATCATTTTTCTTGATTCTAAAATGTTCACCTTCTTCCAGTTTCACTAAGTGTCTGGCATTGTGTCGTACTTAGCATGCATCATTTTATTTTACTTCTGCTACATTACCGCCAGCACTACTAATACATTACTGATAATAATATGGTGTATTTTTCATGCTGTATTTTTCCTAATGTGAATTAGCTTGTACACAGTTGTTATCAGGGAATAATGTCACTATAGCATATATCAAGTTAGTTCATATGTAATTTTTCCTCCATAAGGAGAGCCAAAATAGTGGGAATAAAGGTATAACCTTCAGCAGGAAAGGAAAAATCCCTGTTTGGCTCTTGGCTGCTTCAAGAGCCCTTCGGTTTTATTTTAAGAAAATTGAAAAACACACCTGCTTCTAAAGATCCCTCCCTAGGGAGGTGCAGCCTTCCGCCTGTGGCAGGTTGTGTTACTACAGTCTCAGAGCAGCCCGCTGTCTCAGAGCTGCACTTCTATCTGCGTGGTCTCAGCACATGCCTACCCCGGTCTGCTTAAATGTTGCCATGCATGTCTATTCTGTTGTTTTTATTCATTTCTAATATCCTCTATGCTAGTCTTCTGCTACACTGAGTTACCGCCTTGAATAAACCAAGTTATCTCTCCTCCAGTGCCAATTGCAGTTTGTGTTATTACCCTTAAGTGCTCCATAGGTTTTGTTTTTGTTTGTTATTTTTGTTTGTTTTTTTAATGATCACTGAGGCCCTTCTAGCTTTAGTATTCTATGATTGTATTTCTAGGTACAAGTTTGCAGAATAAATTCCATTTATGTTTTCCTAAGGCTAGAAAAAGGCTTCATATGAATGAATTTAGTATGATATAGTCGAAACAGCAGAAGCCATGGAAGTCAGATCTGAGTTTGTTTGGATTTTGGCTGTGCAATTTAATAGTTACATGATGCTGCCTGAGTTGTCTTAAGTTTCCATTTGTAAAATGGGGATAATAGAGTGGTTGTGAGGATACAATGAGATAATGTATATAAAGGTTGTTACACAGTGCCTGGCACAAATTAGGCACTGGACAAATGGGTTTTTTTCCTTTCTCTTTCAGTTCCATGTGTTTATGAACTTGAGGTCTCTGATGGCTCTGAGCTGTCTGTGGTCGTGAACTTTTCTTTGTTCAAGCCTGCTCTGATCTACTTGTTCTCTAATAGTTTTTTTTTTTTAAAATAGCTTTATCGAGATGTATTTCACATATCATAAAATTTACTTATTTAAGGTATACAGATCAGTGGTTTTTAGTGTATTCACAGAATTCTGCAACCATCATCACAATCTAAATTTCAGAACATGTCCAAGACACAGAAAAGAAACCCCATACCCATTAGCAGCTATTCTCCATTCCCAGATGCACCAGTTTTGAATGGTCTATCCCAACCCTATTTTTCCTTGAGCCCTGTAATTTTTAGTGTGCAGTTTTTGTAGAATGCATATGTTAAGTTAACAGAAATGCTTGTGTTATAACCTGGGCTTTTGCCCCCATCACTGAAAATGTTCTTTCTGAGGTCAGCATGACCCTAATAATTGCCAAATCAAAGAGACACTTTTTGGTCCTAATCTTATTGGCCCCTTTTGTGGCACTTACACTATTGGCCACTTCTTCTTTGTTGACCCTCTTAATCTTCCTTGGTTGTTTGAAGGGTTTTTCGCGCCGTCTCCTTCTGTCTAGTTGTTCCATCCCAGTCTGCTCAACTGGTCCATCTTCTTTAAATATGAGTGTTCCCAAAGGTTCTATGTGTACCCTTCGTACTCTAATGCTGGATAATTTTTAAAATATTTTATAGGATATCATTTTTAATATCTTTAGTTATTGTTAGCAATGTTCTGTCTTATTGGGAATTGAAGTATACCTATTTCTTCACCTCTCTAACAACTTTAGGTTTTCCTTTTTATTTTTACCTGTTTAATAACTATAACATAGGCCTTATAATTATTTAGTTTGTGGGGGTTTAGAGTTGTTAGCATGGCTGGTTCCCAAGTATCCACATCATGTTTGTATTCCCTCTTCATTTCTTGTTCCTGGTCCATTTTTTCCATTGAAGACTAGCTGTTGCCCATATGAGTGTTTTTGTATGATATATATTTTTGAAATTAAATCTGTCTTTTCAGTCACAATATTTTTATGGTCCAGGTTTTGCCTGAACTTTTTTTTGGATTAAAATATTTTTAAATGCATTTCTAATTAAATCTGCTAACTTGACAAAAGTAATTTTTTCCATGATCTAATTTTCAAAAATATTTGTCAGGCCCTTGCAAGAACATTCCCTGGAGTGCTGCAGAACCATGCAAAAAGAAAAATCAATTGTCCCTCTTCTTAACAAGGTGCAAGAGAAAACAGGAAATGAGAGAAAGGTTGAATAAAGAAATTTTGTAGTGATCTTTTTCAAGAACTTGAAATCCAGGATTTAAAATATATATTTAGTTCATGAGGAAAATTTTATTACTTTTATAGTTAAGGGATAGTTTTCAGCTTTAATGATATTTAATCCTGTACTTAATTTTGTTAAAACTTTTGGATTTTTAAGAATATTGATTGATATGCAACCCTAGGCATAAGGACGCTCATCCACCTTACCTAATGTTATTGTACCTAATAACCCCAGCATTGAAAGTAAGTGGTGTCTGTGGATCGTGAGGCTCTAGCTCACCTTCACTAATCCCCTTGTCCTCCTCCCACTCTTGAGACTAGGTGTTATTAATCACTGTGCCCAATCAAGGTGTCAGATGGAAGGGAACTGGCACCTTTACATAATTTCTTATATCTGTTGTTTAAAGCCTTTATTTAAATGTTTCATTGGTTATGAGTATAAAGAAGCATCTATCTGCTCTTTTTGTTTGCTTAAATGAGTAAAAACAAGCAATTTAATGGTTCTTATTTCTTGGTGCTTTTGTAAGTTTCCTGAGTACTTGGACTATATTCTTTAAGTTACATATTTGTAATTCCACTATTGCAATTCTAATTTTATAGCCTATGTGATATGTTTTTGTCTCCTTCCGTGCCTATCGTAAAGTAAATTATTTGGGCCTTTGCTGAGCTTTCTTGAAAGTTGTAAAGCCTCAAAAGTATTGCTCCCTACTAATGAATGAGTGTGTAATGTGGCCATGAAGAGCATAGAGGCATGGTGGCATACTCAAGGTCTAAGTCAGGATGCAACCCTGTTGTTGTGGAAGAAGACTGCTGATTTCTGCTCCTGTGAAAAGAGCTATGCCATTTATCCTGTAAAAAAGAGCTATGTAACCAGCATGTCAGAATCATACTTGCAATATACAGACTACTATTGGGGCATTTTCTGGTGACTATTAAGTATATACCTGAGTACCATTTTTTACTGAAGTATTCTTTGAGATGTATACCAAACAATTATTCACACTGATATCTTTTGTTGTTCATTTGTTTGCCACATGGAGTGGTAAGAACTTGGTTTGAGTGGAGATTAGGATCGGAATTGTGTATTACTGCTTATTAGTACTTCTAGGTTCTTTTGGCAGAGAAGCCATTGCCACTCTTGTTGTGGTACAAGCTATTAATCTCCCCTTTTCTTTCTTTTTAAATCGTCTGGAAACCGTCTGATATTCTTTTTCTAGGTGTCCTGGAGCTTCTCATCGGAGAGTTGCTCTAGAGAGAAGAAAAACCGGTAAAACTCAGACCGAGATTGAGAGTGAAAATGGACCCACTATAATAGATCCTCCAGGTACTTTATCACCGGAACCGGACTGTTCGGGGACAGGGACAGTGCCCGCCGAGCGGAATGTGACATCAGCAGCTCTTCCCGTGTGGACTGAAGAGCCTGGCCTCGACAACCCTGCATTCGAGGAGAGCACCGGCACTGACAGTATGTCGGTTCAGCTCCTCCTCGTGTGTTTCCTCTATTTCCTTCCTCCCTGCTGCTTTCCCAATATATACTTTTTCCTCTTCAAAAAAAAAAAAAACTTTATTGAGATATAATTTACATAACACATCACTTACTCTTTTCTCAGTTCTAACAATTTGCATTATAGAAACAAAACATACATCTTACCCCGAAGGAAGGTGATCCTTCCCTATCCCATGAACTCATGGGTCATTCACATGTTCTTATTATTTGTGTGTATGTTTAGAACTTGTTTGCCTCTTGACATAAGGAATCAATAACGTCAAAAACAAAAATAATAGCTAAAATCAAATGCTTACTCTGTGTCAGGCACTTACTGTGTTAAGCACTTTGCATGTATTCACCAATCAGATGCTTAGAACAATATTAGGAGATTTTTTTTCAATAAGTAAGAAAACTGAGGCTTGAGGAGATTAATTGTTCAAACTCATTGAACCAATAAATGTCTGGGCATATATTTGACTGCAAGATCACGCTTCTAACCATGACATTGCTCTGGCACCACTCGCCGCTGTCACTGTGCAGCCCATCAGAAAATAAAGCCTGTCATCAGAGACCTCTTGGTAGTTGGCCCTAGATATTTACTTTTAAAAATAATTTTTTAGGGCCGGCCCAGTGGCGCACTGGAGAGTGCGCTGCTGGGGAGCGCGGCGGCGCTCCCGCCGGGGGTTCGGATCCCGTGTGGAGACTGGTTCCCGCTTGCTGGCTGAGCGCGGTGCGGGCGCAACGCCGAGGGTTGCGATCCCGTTACCGGTCAGTAAAAAAGGAAAAAAAAAAAAAAGAAAAAAAGATAATAAAATAATTTTTAAAAAAAATTCTACAAATTCAAATTTTCCCTCCCACAGCTA